TATTAGATTTTAAACATTTCCCAGGCAGTGGATTGCATTACCCAGACCCTATAGATTTGAGTTGTTGGACAAGTTAGTGACCGCAGGGGGCAACAGGCCCTCAACAGGCATGTTGTCAGTTCTTGACTTCCCAAGGACTTTCATATTTAGAAACAGGTAAAATTTGTCTAATTTGGGGAAACTAAAATACGCTGTTCTTTTTTATTGCAGATGATGGCAAGAAGCGGCAGTTTTCGTAAGGTAGGCCAGCTTTTCAAGTTATAATCTGTATAGTCATCAACACGAACCAAAAATACTAGTACTATCAGAACAGGATGATTTTATACAAATGTCTTGTGTTTCAGCCAAAGAAAAACTCGTCAGCAAATCGTCGTGGCCAGAGTTCTCACAGCGACTATAGTTCTCTTTCAAGTAACCGAAGTAGTCGAAGCTTTTCACCAAAACAGTGAGTAGATTTGGATTTTTCCCTTTGCTGGTGTTATGTACTCAGATAAAAATATATGTTTATGATGTTGTCTTTGGGTGCTTTCACACTGGGCAAGCTGAAAGCTTGCTTGACTGCAATGGAAATCGAATCCGTGACCTCTGGTTTGCAAGTCCAAATCAACCGCGATCTTTGGTTTGCTTCATTTCGTAGCTTAGCTGGTAGAGCATCGGACTAGCAAACCAAAGATCGGCGGTTCGATTCCCATCGTGGTCAAGCAAACGTTTCAGCTTGCTCGATTTGAACACACTCAAAGACAATATCACAAGCATAAGTGAGTAGATATGCTGTTATTTATGCATGATATAATTAAATTTTTGAAAAAATCGAAGGAGAGAAAGGGACGTAAAGTATCCATGGAGTGGGGAATATGTAGAAGTGTCAATACTGCCAGCCTAGATGAAAGGTCGAGATGAGAAGTTTTCGACTCGTTTTAATTTTTTCACTACCCTTTTAGAAAGCGTTTATCAAACGGGGATATCGGTGAAGCAACCGACGAATCGACGACGTATGATGTCGAAGAAGAAGAGAATATTGGAACAGTAAGTTTTTTAGCAGCTAGTTTGTGAATTGTACTATATTTTTGTGTTCATGATATTGACCGTATTGCTTCAAGAGTTGCATGAGAGTTGACAAGCGAGAGTTTACATGAGAGTTTTCTCAACTTTCATTGCTTGATCAAACGAGAACAAGAGTTGCATGAGAGTTGACAAGCGAGAGTTTACGTGAGAGTTTTCTCAACTTTCATTGCTTGA